TTCCTTAAATTCAGAGGCATATTTGCAGGTCGGGTCGTCAACATGAATGTTAAAATCACCTAAGAGGAGAACAGATGGGGATATGGCAGAAAGCTGAGTGAGAATGTCAGAGAGGTCGGAGAGAAAGGAGGGGTTTGGCTTCGGGGGACGGTAGATGATGGCTGTGACCAGGGGAGTGGGACCAGAGAGTTTTAAAGATCAGGTGTTCAAATGAAGAAACATCAGGGGCGGGGATTATGGTAGCCTTTATGTCCTTTCTGATAATAGCAGCTATACCACCACCCCGCCCTTGTGGGCGAGGTTTGTCAATGTATGTGAATCCTGCTGGGGTGATTTGATTTAAAGAAAAATAGTCCAGGGGTTTTTGCCATGTTTCGGTCAGATACAGAAAGTACAGGTTATTGTCTTTAATGAATTCATTTAGAATGTGGCTTTTATTGTGGATGGAGCGTATGTTGAGCAGGGCTGCTCTGAGGTGACGTTGCATTGGGGGGGGTTGTGTGGACCGGGGGAGTGGAAGGAGATTGGTCAGATGCATGTGTTGTTTGTTGTGATGGTGTAGTGTGGGCGTGTGACAGGACCGAATGGACGGGATGGAGTGTGGAGACGTGGAATGAAATAAAAACGTACGGCCAGAGCCTCTGTGTGGAGGACGGCGTTTGCGGAGTATTTCATTATCTGCGAGGATGTCCATGCAGTCCGGACGCAGGCGGTTATTAAAGGAGTGGAGATATTTATGAACCTGAGGGCTCCCTCTGCTTTGGAAGTTAATTCTGCATCTAGCTTGATTCTAACTTCCTTCAACTTTTTGAGTACTTCCTCTTTTCTAGATGTCTTATGTTCCCTCTCTAATCTTTTAATTTCTGTTTCCAATTCTTGTTGTTTCGCCAGTCTTTGTTTCTTTAATTTAGATCCTATAGAAATAATGTTGCCCCTAATCGTGGCCTTACCAGCATCCCATAGCACCGAGGGGGAGACCTCACCATTATCATTCAAGGCAAAGTATTCAGATATTGCAGAACGTATTTCCTGTTTTATCCGGTTATCTGCCAATAGTGAGACATTAAGTCTCCAGTACTTAAACCATTTATCTAACCCCAGATTAATTTTCATAGAGACAGGACTGTGGTCTGAGATTGTTATTGGTTCAATTACACTATTTTTTTATCCGGTATGTATCCTTTTTCGACACCAAAAAGTAATCTATTCTTGAATAACTTCCATGTACATGGGACATGAACGTAAAGTCTTTGTCATTTGGGTGTAGGTGTCGCCAGATATCAACTAATCCCAGCTCCTTCATCATGTTTAAGACATTTCTGGACATTTTAGGCAGGGGTCTTATTGTTACGGGTAATCTATCCATTTTGTTGTTCAATGTGCAATTGAAGTCCCCCTATGATTATTATTCCCTCCATTATCTGCCACTAGGGCTGCAATCTTTAAAATAAATAAATCGCAGTCTCATCCAAATGCTGAAGGCTCTGGGTGTTAAGGGACTGTCATGGTTGACACGTCTCATCAACGTTGCGTGGAAGTCGGAAACAGTACCGAAGGAGTGGCAGACCGGGGTGGTGGTCCCCCTTTTTAAAAAGGGGGATCAGAGGGTGTGTGCCAATTACAGAGGCATCACACTACTCAGCCTCCCCGGGAAAGTTTACTCTAAGGTACTCGAAAGGAGGGTCAGGCCGATTGTCGAACCTCAGATTGAGGAGGAACAATGCGGATTCCGTCCTGGTCGTGGAACGACGGATCAGCTTTTTACTCTCGCAAGGATCCTGGAGGGGGCCTGGGAATACGCTTATCCGGTCTACATGTGTTTTGTAGACTTGGAGAAGGCGTATGACCGAGTTCCCAGGGAGTTACTGTGGGAGGTGCTGCTGGAGTATGGGGTGAGGGGGTCTCTACTCAGGGCCATCCAATCTCTGTACTCCCAAAGCGAGAGCTGTGTCCGGGTCCTCGGCAGTAAGTCGGACCCATTTCCGGTGAGGGTTGGCCTCCGCCAGGGCTGCGCTTTGTCACCAATCCTGTTTGTAATATACATGGATCGGATTTCGAGGCGTAGTCATGGGGGAGGGGGTCTGCAGTTCAGTGGACTAAGGATTGCACCACTGCTTTTTGCAGATGATGTGGTTCTAATGGCTTCATCGGTCTGCGACCTTCAGCACTCACTGGATCGGTTCGCAACCGAGTGTGAAGCGGCTGGGATGAGGATCAGCACCTCCAAATCTGAGGCCATGGTTCTCAGCAGGAAACCGATGGACTGTCCACTACAAGTAGGGAATGAGTCCTTACCCCAAGTGAAGGAGTTCAAGTATCTCGGGGTCTTGTTCTCGAGTGAGGGAACAATGGAGCGTGAGATGGGCCGGAGAATCGGAGCAGCGGGAGCGGTACTGCAGTCGCTTTACCGCACCGTTGTGACGAAAAGGGAGCTGAGCCAGAAGGCAAAGCTCTCTGTCTACCGGGCCATTTTCGTTCCTACCCTCACCTATGGTCATGAAGGATGGGTCATGACCGAAAGAACGAGATCGCGGATACAAGCGGCCGAGATGGGTTTTCTCCGCAGGGTGGCTGGTGTCTCCCTTAGGGATAAGGTGAGAAGTTCGGTCATCAGGGAGGGACTCGGAGTTGAGCCGCTCCTCCTTCGGGTCGAAAGGAGCCAGTTGAGGTGGTTCGGGCACCTAGTTAGGATGCCACCTGGGCGCCTCCCTAGGGAGGTGTTCCAGGCACGTCCAGCTGGGAAGAGACCAAGGGGTAGACCTAGGACCAGGTGGAGGGATTATATCTCTTCGCTGGCCTGGGAGCGCCTTGGGATCCCCCAGTCAGAGCTGGTTGATGTCGCCAGGGAAAAGAAAGTTTGGGGCTCTCTGCTGGAACTGCTACCCCCCGCGACCCGACCACGGATAAGCGGGAGAAGATGGATGGAAATCGCAGTCTTCATTTGGTGCATACACATTTAAGATAGTTATTTTTAGGCCAGATATTGTTCCAATTACCATAACATAACGACCCTCAATATCCTGGAGGACTTTCTCATTGTTATAGTTTACTGATTTGTTAATTAAAATAGCTACTCCTCGTTTTTTACTCTTCCCACATGATGCACTATAGATCTGATCCACCCATTCTCTCTTTAATGTTACTGTGTGCAGAACAGAGCCCAGCTTGAGTTTTAACTGCGCTGGGTATATACACCTCGCCAGTATGTCCTTCTTTTTTAGCTGCTTGATGACTTCGTGCACCTTTGCCCGCTTCTTGTGTAACTCGGGAGAGTAATCTTGATCAAAAAATATCCTTTTATCTTTGAAGGAGACCTGTCCCTGACTCCATGCCTGTCGTATCACCAGATCTTTAACCGCTGCGTCCAAAAATCTCACGATGATGTGTCTTGGAGGGGCTGTCGGGTCTCTATGTGGCGTAAACGGGGGCGAGCGGTGTGCTCTCTATCTTAATATCCGTTAGTGATGGTATTTTAAGCACCTTGTGTAACAGTTCTTTAATAAATTCTGCCATGTTTCCTCCCTCACTCCCCTCTGGTACCTGAAAGATTCTCACATTATTTCTTCTCAGTCTATTCTGCAAGTCGTCGCAGGTGGCTGAGAGGGCAATATCACGGTGGATCAGGTATCGGAGCGCCCTCTGATGCCGCACCGCTACGTCCTCGGCCATGCCGACTCTGTCCTCCAACTTTCCAATCCTCCCTTCATGTTCGCCCATTTGAACTTTTATATCTAGCACCGTCTGTTCCAGTCGATCTAGAGACATTTTTGTTTGATTATGCCCTTCTTGATTTTCCTTGCGGAGATTCCCCAGCTCACCCATCAACGTAACTTCATGGTCCGACTCGCACATGTTGCTATCTGTTGTCAAGCTAGCGCTAGCTGGGCTGGCCGGTCTCCGTTGTTTATCGTTTTTTTTCCTTTGAGATATCTTGTTTGTTGGGGGCTTTGTTTCTGGTTGACGAGCTCATCATGCAGGAGTGCTCTTTCTTATTTTTTAAAACGTCTTATATTACTAGTTGTCTCTATTTTTGTGTATAGTCTGGCGGAGCTCCACTTCTAAGCTGCTGCTTCTCCCATGACGTCACCGGAAGTCCTGCGGTCGCTCTTTAGCTGTTCTAATGAAGGTACACACAGTGAAGGCACAGCTCTTTGCAGCTGCTGCTGCTCTTCTCAGATTCTGCTGAGTCACACGTTACTGCCTCCTGGTGCCGCAGAGATTTCATGAAGTGAAGGAGGTTTTCTTCTATAAAGCAGCTGTGGGCAGCAGATACTGTGAGAGTCACAGACATGAATACATAGGTCAAGGCAGACTGGTTCACAGACTCTCCTGTTTTGCCGATCCGGTGCTTGAACAAATAACTCTACACCCCTGGCCGAAATGTCCCTAAACTGAAGTCCGAGTTTGAAATATATCTCAAATAATGTATGTATTTCCCCACATAAACATAACAGTCTGCAATGAAACGGCTGTCTCCTGTGCGCTCCACTTCCTACTTTCTCCTGCGAACGAGATACTTTCTCTTTTTTTTCTTCATTGCCCTCTAGGGGCTTCGTACAATACAAATGCAAATATTTTATTTTAAAAAGTAAAGTCCTTTGTCTCAAGTCATGTATACCAAGTCCAAGTCGAGTCTTTTTATCAATGTTAGTCAAGCAAGTCTCAAGTCAAAAAATATGCGACTCAAGTCATGTGACTCGAGTCAAGTCATGTGACTCGAGTCCCCCACCTCTGGTATATACTGTGGTTAGAATATTGCTGTATTACTGTATCAAATATAATAAACACAAACGGTTGATAAGTAGTATTTTGTTAACTCAAGGTTTATATTAAGTGAGTTTTTATTGTGTTAACTTGTGTATTTATGCTTTTTAGATTGACTTTCTCTCTTTCTCTGTCCGTCTGTTCTAGAAACCGAAAGGAAAAGAGAGACGTCACAGCTGTCAGCAATGTGACAAATCCTTTACAACAACTGGAAATTTAAAGAGCCACCTGCTTATTCACACAGGAGAAAAACCGTTCAGCTGTGAAGAGTGTGGGACAACTTTCGCTCAATCAAGTCATCTCAAAAGACATCAACGTATTCATACAGGAGAAAAACCTTTCAGCTGTGAAGAGTGTGGGACAACTTTCGCTAGATCAGGTCATCTCAAATCACATCAACGTATTCATACAGGAGAAAAACCGTACAGCTGTGAAGAGTGTGGGAAAACTTTCGCTCAATTAGGTGTTCTCATATCACATCAACGTATTCATACAGGAGAAAAACCGTACAGCTGTGAAGAGTGTGGGAAAACTTTCACTACATCAAGTGCTCTCAAAATACATCACCGTATTCATACAGAAGAAAAACCGTACAGCTGTGAAGAGTGTGGGAAAACTTTCACTACATCAAGTGCTCTCAAAATACATCACCGTATTCATACTGGAGAAAAACCGTACTGGTGTGAAGAGTGTGGGACAACTTTCACTCAATTAGGTGCTCTCAAAATCCATCAACGTATTCACGCAGGAGAAAAACCGTACTGGTGTGAAGAGTGTGGGAAAACTTTCACTACATCAGGTGCTCTCAAAATACATCACCGTATTCATACAGGAGAAAAACCGTACTGGTGTGAAGAGTGTGGGACAACTTTCGCTCAATCAAGTCATCTCAAAATACATCAACGTATTCATCCAGGAGAAAAACCATAGTGGTGTGAAGAGTGTGGGAAAACTTTTTCTCAAAGTATTCACCTTTAAAGTCCACGAGTGAATGCACACTACATTGTTTTGAAGAACTATGAGAGCCATGCCAGCTGTTTCCTCCTCCTGATGTCCTGAGAGCTGTAGTTATATGTTAAGAGTCTTTCTGAATTGAAGTCTCATTGAAATAAAGCTTATTTCATTCAAATGTGTCTTTTCTTCCGTGAGATATCTTTATGGATTTCCTTATGACTCAAGAGTCTGATTTTTAAAAGTGTTTTAATATTTCTGAGTCTGACTCAAGCAACTTAAATGTTTGCTTTTGGGCAAAGTCGTCTGAACATTGTGTACTGTGCAAGTAATGTGGCACTCTACCTTTGTCCATATATTTAGATAAACAAATTAATCCCCATTATTCCATTCAATAATTCATATTTCACGACTCACTGTTACTGTAGCACTGACCACTTTATTGTATAAAGTGCATTCAATTGAAAACACCAGTGGTAGTTAAATGATGTACATCAAAGTAATATTTAGATAAACAAATGAATCCCCATTATTCCATTCAATAATTCATATTTTGTTATGTACATACAAGTATTTACATATAATAAATAGATAATTAAAGCCTATAATATCAGATACATTTGAATGTAACAATTGCACTGATGGCTCTGTGTTTTGTCACCAATATTATATTTTAGTTGGCACTGCCTCCACGGCTATGGTTATGGCATGATAGGAACTGCTCTGTATTCCTAAAGTTTGACCTTTCTGGCAAAATATTTAATTGATTGAGTATAAATGATGGCAACAGCATAAACTAAGGTAAACACAGGTACAAAAGCTCAAGTGGATACAAATCAGATGCTTTGAAACACATTCACTTTTGTAGATCCCAGGATTTATTTGTCATCAGCAGGTATGAATCAAATGTTAGGGGACTTCTTGTAAACTAACATTTGTTATGCAAGTCAACAACAACGAGATCTCACTCCACTGCAGAAGAAGAACAGGAATGATCCAGCTATTGAACCCAGTTGGATTCTTTAGGACTTTTCCTGAGCAACCATTCACCTTCATTGACTCAGTATAAAGGATGGCAACAGCAACAACATAAACACAGGTAAAAAAGCTCAAGTGGATACACATCAGATGTACAATTATGTACAGGGAGGCTGTGGCGCAGTGCGTTGGTGTTGGGATCAGGGGAGCACAGGTTCAAACCCCACTGCAGTCAGCATGTCGTTGTGTCCCTGGGACACTTCACCCCACAGTATTGAGTATGTAAGTCGCTTTGGATAAAACCGTCGAACATGTAATGTACATAAAACAATTTACATTAATGACGTATATATATTTACAATATACATAACATTACATTGCATTTAGCTGACGCTTTTATCCAAAGCGACTTACAATAAGTGCGTTCGACCAACAAAATACAACTTGAAGAAAACAGAATCATAAAGTACATCAGGCTTCATAGAGCAAAAACATTTCAAGTGCTACTCAACTGGCTTTAGATAAGCCAGTCCTTTATTAGTATAAAAGTGCTTCGTTAATAGTTCTATCGCTCGAAGTGGAGTCGAAAGAGATGAGTTTTCAGTTTGCGCCGGAAGATGTGCAAGCTATCTGCCGTCCTGATGTCAATGGGGAACTCATTCCACCATCCTGGAGCCAGGACAGCAAACCCACGTGTTTTCGCTGGATGGGAACTTGGGTCCCCCTCGCAGCGAGGGCGCAGCGAGTCGTTTGGCTGATGCAGAGCGTAGTGCACGCGCTGGGGTGTACGGTTTAACCATGTCCTGGATGTACGAAGGGCCAGATCCATTCGCAGCATGGTAAGCAAGTACCAGTGTCTTGAAGTGGATTCTAGCAGTTACCGGAAGCCAGTGAAGGCAGCGGAGGAGCGGAGTGGTGTGGGAACATTTAGGAAGGTTGAAGACCAGACGAGCCGCTGCATTCTGGATGAGCTGCAGAGGTCGGATGGCACATGCAGGTAGACCAGCCAGGAGGGAGTTGCAGTAGTCTAGGCGTGAGATGACGAGAGCCTGGACCAGAACCTGAGTCGCTTTCTGTGTCAGCTGGGGACGTAACTTCCTGATGTTGTAAAGCGTGTATCTGCAGCAACGGGTTGTAGCAGCGATGTTTGCAGTGAAGGACAGGTTGTTATCTAGGGTCACACCCAGATTCCTTGCAGTCTGAGTCGGGGAAACAACTGAGGTGCCGATGTTGATTGTTAGGTCAAGAGTGGGACAATCTTTTCCCGGGAGGAAGAGCAGCTCAGTCTTGTCAAGGTTGAGCTTGAGGTGGTGAGCAGACATCCACTGAGAGATGTCCGCTAGAGAAGCAGAGATGCGTGCGACGACCTGGGTCTCTGAGCGGGGAAAGGACAGAATTAATTGGGTGTCGTCAGCGTAGCAGTGGTAAGAAAAACCATGCGGGCTAATGACTGATCCGAGCGAGTTTGTGTACAGGGAGAAGAGGAGGGGACCAAGAACAGAGCCCTGAGGGACCCCTGTAGTTAATTGACAAGGGTCGGACTCAGACCCTCTCCAAGTCACCCTGTAGGTACGGTCTTTCAGGTATGAGGTGAGGATGGAATGTGCAGAGCCTGAAACTCCAAGTTTTTGGAGAGTGCGAAGGAGGATCTGATGATTCACCGTGTCGGATGCAGCAGACAGGTCCAACAGGATGATGACAGAGGAGAGGGATGCAGCTTTGGCAGTGTGCAGTTCCTCCGTGACAGCAATGAGAGCGGTTTCTGTGGAGTGACCTGCCTATATACATAATACATATAAAACTCAACATGAAAAATAAAAATGATAACACAGCAAGTTGAAAAATATTTAAATGACTATTTACAATATTTACATAGCAGCTGTAACATGTTGGTAACTGTTGTAAACTGTGTTCTCTAGACACTTTGATGGAGACATCTTCTTCACAGGGCAGAAGACTTTGCGCCTGTACTTTTTGTGCCCCTGGGTGGGTTGGCCACAGCACGTGCACAACGGCAGCTTTTGAACACGGGACACTTTGGCTCCTACTCCCGAGGGCTCGTCCATCCCCTTGCGCTTGTCAAGCGTGGACCTTGCCCAGGATGAGGGAATGCACTCGAGAGTAGTGGGGACAGACACATCAGCAGACGGGGTTGCCTGAATGGCAGGCAGTAAGGGCATTGAGGAGGGGCTAGCAATGGCTGGGGTTGGCTGACTGGCAGGCAGGATGGGGCCAGGGAAAAGGGAGGGCACAGGTCTGGCAATGGTACTGGTGGCAGGCAGTATGGGACGTCCAGCAATGGCAGGCACGATGGGCCTCGTGGAGGGGCCAGCAATCACCGGGTTGCTGTGGATGGAGAGGGGGAGGGCAAAGGGCTGGTGGCCGTGGCACAGCTGGCAGTGATATCTGAGGGTGTGAGAGAGGCATGATCATGTCCCTCCTTCCCTTCAATGACTTGGTCCCTGCCGTGCTGGGTGTCGGCACGTGCTGCATCAGTGGGTAGTCTGGTGGAGGGAGGACTGCTGGCTGGTGTGGCGCTGGAGGCAAGTGGGCAGAGGAAACGGAAGTGGTCTTTGAGAGCATCGCTGGCTGGTTGGTCGCACGCAGGTTGAGGAGGCATTCTTGAGCGCAGATAAAGTCACGCACCGTCTTAATGTTTATCTTTGGCAGCGGAAAGCCTGCTTGAGACAAGACGGGATCGTCCACCAAAACCCGGTGCTGGATCCTCTCGTACGCCTTCAAGATAGTGGTCTTCTCTGGGCTTGTGCGAGAACCCTGTGGTGACTTCAACCACAGCAGTTTCACCAGCGTGTACATAAGCATGTTGTGCATTGCACTAATGTCCTGTTGTGCTGGTGTGTAGGCGATCGGCCTTACTGGAGTGCAATTGCGAGGGACGCCATTGGACCGAATCTTTAGGAAAAGAAAAATGAAATTTGATGGGAGGGGACACTTTCAGATCATTTACATATTGACAGAATGCCAATGAGGATATTGGCTCCCTCGTGTGGTCGTAGTGTGATGTGAACACCTTGATGTTGTTGTCGTCAATCAATCAGTTGATATAGTATACTAGGTCTATTTTCAACAAATGTATTAATAAGAGAGCACCTTGCATTTAATTGATAGCATCACTGTTTTCTGTCATTATTAATTGTATTATTATTAAAGTATATCATTGGATTTATTCCCATTACTGTTTATTCCCATTACTGTAGTTTTCAATCAGATGTGAGAATTATTTCTTCTCCCTAATGACATTTATTTACATGTCACTTCTATCTTTCTAAAGGCACAGACTTGTTTTGTGTTATATGTATATTTGTACACACATAATTCATGTTATTTATTCATTAATGTACTTATTGTTTCTCTCTCTCTCTCTCTAGGTCATCCTCAGACGAGCCCTCCATCATCGCTTCCAGTCATCCCGGTTCTCCATACATCTGGCCAGTTCATTGGTACTTTGTGCTCCTGCGTCGTTCTTGAGTATGGCCACGTATGTTTGTGCGGGACGTCCTCGTGACCATTGAAATAAAGCTTATTTCATTCAAATGTGTCTTTTCTTCAGTGAGATATCTTTATGGATTTCCTTATGACTTGAGAGTCTGATTAAAGTGGTTTAATATTTCTGAGTCTGACTCAAGCAACTTAAGTGTTTGCTTTTGGGCAGTCATCTGAACATTGTGTACTGTGCAAGTAATGTGGCACTCTACCTTTGTCCCTATATTTAGATAAACAAATGAATCCCCATTATTCCATTCAATAATTCATATTTTGTTATGTACATACAAGTATTTACATATAATAAATATATAATTAAAGCCTATAATATCAGAGAAATTTGAATGTAACAATTGCACTGATGGCTCTGTGTTTTGTCACCAATATTATATTTTAGTTGGCACTGCCTCCACGGCTATGGTTATGGCATGATAAGAACTGCTCTGTATTCCTAAAGTTTGACCTTTCTGGCAAAATATTTAATTGATTGAGTATA